TTTGTTTGTTTAGGTTTTATTTCCTTCTGCAATATTGACGTTATGGAAATAATGCATCTCAAACGGTTTTCAAAGAGTTCATGGATTCTTACATGGATCTTCTTTAGCAAGGGCATCAACAATTATACGTGGTAGAGCCATGCGAGTTATATTAGTAGTATAGTTGTAGCACGAATGGTTCGGCTCGACCGGAGAAGGGCCACGCTCTCACAGAATACCAGCGTGAAACAGTAGCTTAGTGCTGCTGTGTTTCATATGGTGAGTGTGGAGAACCGAAGGCTCTTTTTACTGGAAACGAGGCATTCCATCTTAGTCCTCACGGGTGACAACGAATCTGCATTTTGGTTCGTAATCGAGGATAGATGTAGATGTCGAGCCACAGCAACCACTTACCATCAGGTGGACTGTGTGCTCGCTTGTCACCCTATCCTATAAAACAAAAACTGAATATAAAATTAAAAGAATATGTTGATAGTAAAGGCAAATATTTTGCCCATAAATAATGGCAATTTTACAGGTAAAGGAAAATAGACAATAAAAGAACTTGATACATAATAAATATTGGATAAGAGCTAGGTACTACAAATTAAATGAAGTATGAAGCTAAATAAACGTGGACACGGAACTAAATCTAAAATTCAAAATTTATAACTTGTAAATATGTATCTAGATTTAGTAGATTTTGCATTTTTTATTTTTGAACGTTATATTGTGTTAAAAATTAAAAAAAACTGTTCACTTCTGAAAATTTTTCCTCGCAAAATACGTACGAGTTAGTTTTAGTCGCGTATGAACCACCGCTGAAAATGTTGATTACTTCTTTCTTTTGAAACTTTTTTAATTTGCAACTTAACAATGCTACGGCGTTCGTAGTTTTAAATTTTTTTGTTAACCTTTCTATTTCGCGCACATTGTTTAGTTACTAAAACCTACGTTTCAGAGAGTAAAACGCCAGGCATTTTATGAAGCAACAGTTGAATATGAAGTATTAATATAGTTTTGGAGTATTTTCGAAAACTAGAACTCCGTTAAAATGTAGGTCGCTTACCTGAAGAGGGTCACAGCATCCACTTACTATAAGGTGGGCTACATTCCCGCTTGTCACCCTAATTCTATACAAAAAAATTTGTAAATTTTAATTACGAAACTACAAAATCTTAACACTCCAGAAAATATGTGTTATGAGTTATGACTAAATACAGAATAAAAATTATACATTTTAGGGTTTCCGAGACAAAATTAATAGAGCACTTATCAAATATTTTCGGTGTCGTGTCGTTGTGTTTCAGAATTGTTCTCCGAGACTACTAGACACCTACGCATAGATAATTGATTCACAATTGATATAGTTATAAAATTGCTTCATTTATCGCAGTCAATCCACTGCCGCACATAGGCCTACTCCATAGACCGCCTAATATTTGATATTTTTTACCACCCACCTGGTGGTAAGTGGTGATGCAGCCTTAGATGATAAATCGCACTGTCTTAGTGTAACAAAAAGACTATTCACTCTTGCCTCAAAGACGCCCAGATTGCATTCGGACGTAAAGATAGGCGCCGGCAAATTATTTCACTCTTTTGCTGCAAGCATTAAAAAGTCGAAGCAAACTATTTAGTTCTAGTGCGTGGAGTATCGACAATAAGGGGGTGAAGATCCGATGAGCGCTTATTCGTCCGATGGTAGAAAGGAGAAATGAAAGCGTGCAATTTCCTGGCGCACTCACCGAAATGTTTTTTTTAAATAGTATAAGCGACAGTGGTGGTAAGTGGATGCTGTAGCCCATAGACATCTAAATTTATCCTTGATTAAGAATCAAAGTACCTACAGATGCGATTCACCCCTGAGGACTAAGATAGAATGCCTCGTTTCCAGTAAAAAGGGTCTCTGGATCTCTACACTGACCATACGAAACACAGCAGCATTTAGCTGCTATTTTGCGCTGGTATTCTGTGAGAGCGTGGTTTTTCCCCGGTCTAGGTGACCCTCTTGTCCTACAACCATAATATAGCTCCAGCATGGCTCTACCACGTATAAAAAGAGAAAAGTATCCTAATGCCATAGATGTCACGCTTAGGAGTTGGCAACCACAGTCTTTTATATTTAGAAAAACACTGCTGCCCGCGTACGCCTTGCGATAATATCCTCACTATGATGTAGGGAAATGGTATATTCTGGTAACGTCACCATTACACGGTATAGTGATGAGAGGCATTATTATTTGCGAGATACATTTGTCACGTGAAAAGTTGGAAGTTTCAACTTCGTTAGTTCGTAAAAAATAACTTACTATTTATATTCTGTAATTATAAAAATATATAAAAAAAAACTCTCTGCAGGCAATATTTTGTATTTATATTATGTATAGTATTTTTAATATCTTCCCAAACAAAAAGTTTGGTCTAGTGTACCCGACTTCTATAGCTGTCTCCCTAAAGTTTCGCTAAGAAAACTCAGAAAAAAGTCAAATGTTAAATAATAGGTAAGTAAGTAAGGTAGTTAAGTAGGCGTAAGTTTAGGGAAAATATCAAAATTGCTGTCCAGGCATGATGATAACATCGACCGGACCGATTAAAATATATCCCAAAATAAAGACTCTTTTAAACAGGGTATGTCTATGATTCATCTAGTGATTTACTGTAAATAACGAAACAATCTCGGTGTGTGGTTGATGGCACAGGTCACTCACATTAAGTGCCAGCAAAGCTTGAACTTCAAAGATTTTAATGGAAAAAAAGTTTGGTTTTTCTGTAAAGAAAATGTTTGCTCATATGTACAAAAATCATAATAAAATCAGGGCCCACTTGTCCCTTTATATGTAAATAATTTAGAAAATATTTTCTATATTTTCTCAACTCCAAAAACAACGAAAGTCCATAAAATAAAATATGACAAAATGAAGTGGGATACTTTGCTATTGTAAGTCCCCAGTATGGTATTCCAAAAGTTTGCAACCTCACACACACTGTCCGATTTTCTTGGAAGCGGATCTGACATGTAATTATTTTTTTATTACACCATGCCATGGGAGTTCAACGCCATCACGTTAATTACAATATTAACAAACGAAGGTCTCGCTTCAGTTGCCCACTTGGACTAACGAGCGCTCCGTGACGCCACAAATTCTAAGATATTTGAAAATTATTGAGTCTAAATGAAAATACAGTTTTTCAACATTACAGATAACACAAATGGTTTTTTTTATATTCGACAACAAAAACAGACCATGTGGTGATGATAATGGCAAATTTTTAAGTTTTTTTTGAGCATGACTTATTAGGGATAATATATTATATACACAAATATAATCATCATCATCATCATTATTACAGCCCTTCACAAGTCCACTGCTGAACCATAGGCCTCCCCCAAGTAATGCCACAAAGCACGGTCCTGAGCCACCTGCATCCATCGACTTCCTGCATGTCTTACCAGGTCGTCACTCCATCTAGTGGGGGGTCGCCCTACACTACGCCTACTGGTACGAGGCTGCCACTCGAGAACCTTTCTTCCCCATCGGTTATCGGTTTTTACAATTTGACAAATAAGAATTTGTGAAACTGCCGGTTTCAACAGAGTTTTATGACAACCCAAAAGTCAAATCCGATAAATATTCGATGTTTATTACCGTAATAAAAAAATAAAACTAAAACCAAATTATCATAAAATCCTAACCCCCCCCCCCCCATTCCCCGCCCCGTAAAGTACCAAGGACAGTGGCTGCGTTTCTTTCACGAGAAAGAACCAGGCCTCTTAACAGAACATTACCGCACGTGGACCCCAAGTAAATAAATGAATTTACATGTAAAAATCAGATAATCGTTTCGAACATACAGACAGAGAATTCATTTACAATTATAATAATAAGAATAATTCAGAAAGTTAAAAAAATTACTTATATTCTAGTGCAACGTGTCAGTCAATCTACTGGGGTTGAATTTATGTCAAGTTAGAAACAGCAGGTCCCTAGAACGTCGGGTAGGAACGGGTTTTCGTTCCTGCCGCATTATTAAAAAAGTATGCGTTGCATGCAACTGCTTATTCAGCATAAACGTAATTGCTTAATACGTGAAATCAGCCGTCCTTATCTTATTTTTAGTCTCAGTAACGGGATAATGACCGACGACGTAGAAGACATAAAATTCCTTTAGTTTCTTATCGCATAGTTTTACAAATTTTTTATTTCTTCCGATTCACCGGTTGAGAATTTAATCGTTCAGAGTTTAACGGAGATGTCAGTGTGTGTACTACACTGCTGAACAAAGCCCCCTCCCTCCATAGATTGACTCTCGAGTTATTACGTGGTGGAGTCATGCTGCAGCTATATTAGTAGTATAGTTGTAGCACGAATGGGTCGACTCGACACGGGTAGGACCACGCTCTCACATAATACCAGGTTAAATAGCAGTCTAACGTTGCTATGTTCATATGGTAAGTAAAGTCCGAAGACCCTTTTCACTGGAAACGAGATATTCTATGTTAGTCCTCACGGGTGACAACGCATCTGCATTTTGATTCGTAATCGAGTAAAGTTGTAGATGTTTAAGGACCACAGCAACCACTTACCATCAAGTGGGTTGTGTGCTCGTGTGTCATTCTTATCTTATAAAAAATAAGTTTGCTGTACTTGCCACGCTTGTGTAGTCGGGTCAGCAACGTAGTTTTTTTTTTCATTTTTGGTTGTTATCAGAAAGATGTCGCTGCCGAATTTTTGTTTTGGTTTTCCTCTGTCACTCCTCACAACCTGATGGGACGATATGGGGTAGTGAATGCTGTTAGGCCTCCAATACGTTGACTTTTGTTTTAATAGAGGCAATTATTATTATACAAATACATAGTATAATAAATATGTATTTGTATTATTTGAATAAAAATTTTTCAAAGTTCGAAAGCTAATAATTGTAAAGATTTTATTTTATCGCCTCAACTTTACGCTTCTCTTTCTGATAACTCTTATATTGCATAGAAAAATTACAAAAAGTTCCAATTATGCTAATTAATGCATGTAACGGGAGGTAAAAGATAAAAGATAAAATATTAGAATAACAAGAAACTACTGTTATTATTAAAAATATACAACATGTAACAAAAACCCTGTGGTTCCCGTTAAGTGCGTTATCAGAATCAGAATTCAAACAAATAGTAATCACTTTTTTTTAAAAGTGAACAATTTTTTTATTTTAATTTTAAAAAATATTTTCAAATTGTATGTGGTTTTATTACCTCTGCATTGTCCGGGGAGTTAGAGGATTGTCATAGACCCCGATTTCCCGATGCTCGCACATACAATTTGCAAATAAAAATTTATTTCATTTTATTTTTAATTTATTTAATTTTAATGGTCGAGTTTTCTGAAAAAAAATATTTCTATACATCTATATTCTGAAAACGCACTTAACGGGAACTGCCGGATTTTTGTTACTTGTATTATATCTACTAGTGTCTTAACTTCCTATTACAACCATTTATTTTTTGGTCTATACGTTATTCACATTATAACGGTAATTTATTCGATGTAATCGGTAAAATGTTGTCGATCTCCGGTTTATAGATACGCCGGAGTTTTACCGCGCGCAGTTTGCTAATATATGCGATTTTATGATTGCCGCGCAAAATCTTAACGGTTGATGCTTTACGTTCTTCTCTTTGTAGCTATTTTGCACCTGCTTGACAGGGGCCCTCAAACTTTTCTTGTTTTTGTTTTTTTTTTGTACCTATCCGGCCTTTAGGTTTATTAAACGATATAACATCTTAATCGGATTTTTTAATGGATACCAGGGTGCTTTAATGTAAAAAGACACCGTTTATTTAGGTGATAAATGTGGTATATATTTTTAGTGTATTTTTAACACTAGAAATATTTACCCACATTTATCACCTAACTATATATTTATAGTAAATGACATAGTTGTTATTTTTAATCTCTTTTTATAATTAAAATTTCGTATTTCCTACATTGATATTATTTTTTAATACGTGGTAGAGCCATGCTGCAGTTACATTAGTAGTATAGATGTAGCACGAATGGGTCGACTCGACCGGGGAAGGACCACGCTCTCACAGAATACCAGCGTCAAATAGTAGCTTAATGCTGCTGTGTTTCGTATGGTGAGTGTAGAGAACCGGAGACCCTTTTTACTGGAAACGAGGCATTCCATCTTAGTCCTCACGGTTGATAACGCATCTGCATTTTGATTTGTAATCGAGGATAGATGTAGATGTCTATGGGCCACAGCAACCACTTACCATCAGGTGGACTGTGTGCTCGTTTGTCACCCAATCCTATAAAAAAATTGACACTTTTATTAAAATATAATTTAAACACTGAGTTAATATTTTGTCTAATAAATATTTAATATAAATTATGCCTATAATCTATCTGAATTATGCTAATTATTGATGTCTTTTTTCAGGACTTAATAGAGGCCTGTAATGAATGAATAAAAATAGATATTGAATTTTTAGTTCAGCAAACCCCATTTTTAGGGTTCCGTAATCAACTAGGAACCCTTATAGTTTCGCCATGTCTGTCTGTCCGTCTGTCCGTCCTCGCTTAATCTCTGTGACCGTTAGCACTAGAAAGATGAAATTTGATACCAATATGTGTATCAATCACGCCGACAAAGTGGTAAAATAAAAATTAGAAAAAAATGTTTTACTAGGGTAGCCCCCCTATATGTAAAGTGGGAAGTGATTTTTTTTTTAATTTCAAACCTAACGTGTGATATATTGCTGGAAAGGTATTTAAAAATTAACAGGGGTTTACTAAAATCATTTTCGATAATGTCAATAATTTCGGAAATAATCGCTCCAAAAGTAAAAAACAATGTGTCCCCCCCCCCCCCTCTAACTTTTGAACCATAAGTTTAGAAAATATGAAAAAAAATCTGAAAAGTAGAACTTCATAAGGACTTTCTGGGAAAATCATTTTCAACTTGGATGGAAACAACAGTACCCACTACCGGGAGCAGTTGCAGGAGCGCGGAGCGCTGCTGGAGCGCGAACATAATGGATACCCACCTTTAAACTCATAAGTGGGAACACTTATTGTGACGGCCGGGAAACTACGGAATCCTACACTGAGCGTGGCCCGACACGCTCTTTGCCGGTTTTTGTTGCATACTTAAATCTGCATGTACTCTTAAAAACAGAATTGTTAGGCTGATAAATATACTATAAGATTAAACAATAATTCTACTTGTAGTTTTGTAACAAAGATAATTTACCTTCTTTTTATATAGTATTTACACCATAAACCATCTAAAATATATGCGTTTAAACACATAAAATGTGGAGGACGTTTTGCAGATTCCAATAAGCTTTATTTTATTTCTAGCATTAGTAAAATAAATTAAATGTGACTAGGATTCGTATAATAAGACCCTCAACCGACTTCTGTTTTATACTGCATTAAAACATAACTTAAAATTCATTCTAACTCCATTGCACCGACTAAACATCTCAAAGCGACGACCTCTTGGTACAAAGGTAATAAATCATTCGCCCGATACTCGGTATCGGGAGAAAAATACATTTAAATCGTAATTCGAGCCTTGGCCGCACTATCGGTGCACACAGAGAAAATACACGCACACGAAATAAATAAATGTATATAAATACAATTCAAGTAGAACTCACACATAAACACGTGCCGGCCTGTATGCACACTCGAAATGGCCATACATAAGAAAGTTTATCGTGCCGCAGTAAATATCGACAATTAATATTCGATAATTATGTGCTGGCTGTTGAAAACATGGCTATAATTCAAATCACCGGTCGTCAACATTTTTATTTGGAGAAAGTTTAGAGGTTTTATAGTTTTGAAAACCTGTTATTACGTTATAAAATAGATTGGAGTTGAGTGAAGTGGAGTCAATTTAATTGCAACATTGATGTTTTCTATAAAATATGTTTTTTTTATTACCCTATGGTAATAAAAAAAAGTAAGTCGTTGTCCATGCATATATCGCAGGCAGATGTTACGATTTCTCTGTTTATTTATTTATTTTCTCGATAAATATAGTAATTTCAAAAAAAAACATAGTTTACTTTGATATAAAATCTAAAACGAATTTTAATTTATGTATCATTATAAATGCAATCCAACTCTTGGCTATTTCTGGCCAGAGACTCAAAACAATTATACGCTGCTCAGTTATTAATTTGTCTTTACCTAAATAAATCGGGAATATTCTAAAAAAACTAAAGAAACAACATGTTGTTAGGTATATTATTTAAGATAACATTGGTGTTGAGCAACCTACAGATCTTACATTCAGTTTCCCTTTGTCAACTTTGACGTCACCCACGGGATGATATGCGGTAGTGCAGCAACTTGGATATATACAAATTATAAGTTTATTTATTTTATAATCCCTTATTTCAGGTCTAGAACGGGTGGCGGAGGAGTTGATGGGTCGAAGAAAATGGAAACTATACCAGGACGCGTTAATACCAAAAAGGAGCGACGGGGAACAGTCCAGCGACGAGGATACCACGCCTGTCACCGACCCCCCGCCCGCTCTCAAGATAAAGACCATAGAGGAGATCAACGCTCCGGACGAAGCGAAGGAGATCAAGACCGAGGAAACCAAAGTCGCCCAGGAGAAGCCGAATCGGCCGGAGACGATATTAGAGAGTCTCATCAAGCGGCCGGCGACGCAACCGAAACTGGAGATACCAGAGGAGCCGGCCGATTGGAAACCGGCCGACAAGTGCTACTTTTGCGTAGACGGGGCTGAAGCTGGTGGGGCGGAGGTCTCCGCGGCGGCGACGGTATGTAATATACCTATTATAATGTAATTTAACATGTTTGAACTAAATACCATTCTTCCTTTTCTGCTTTGTATATTAGACATTTATCTCTAGATTAATTTAAAACTGGCGCCATATTAACAGGGATCAATTCCTCGGCTTTGTAGAATTCTTCGCGTGGGCAGGATTTATTAATGTGAGGTCATGAAGATTTTTTTAAAATAATCATCAACGACCATTCGTTTTATCTATGTGATTTTACAAAAAAAAATACTCTAAGCTTTTCGGATAAAATATAAACTAGAACATTCTTCACAATTCTATCAATGTGTTCGTGAATTTTCATCACAAACAGACAAACGAAAGTTCTACAAATCTTTATAATTGTCATAATGGCGTGCAAAAACCCTTATGAGCTTTATAAAGGGCAATTATTTTAACATTACGGAGAGACCTTAATTTTATTAATACATATTCATGGCCCAAAAGTTGATTCTATAAAGAGCAAATTAAACCATAAACCCCGCTTTACATTTTGAGAAGTGACAAGTGCAACTGACAAATGACAAGTGCTAGCTGGTTTAAGTTACAGCCTATAAAACTTTCAATGCTAGGCACAGGTCTCGCTTTATATCTATTTAGATATTATTGCTTAAAAAAGCGAAAAGTCGCACGTCGAAGAATTTTGCCGGGAATTTATTTATAATTTCTTTAACTCGATTAATACAAAGTAATTTAAAAGTTCTTTCAAATTTTTTTTTTATAGAATCTGGGTAACAAACTAACACACAGTCCACTTGATTGTAAGTGGATGTTGTGGCCCATAGACATTTACATTTATCCTCGATTACGAATCGAAACACAGAAGCGTTCTCACCCTTGAGGACTAAGATGGAATGCCTAGTTTCCAGTAAAAAAGGGTCTCTGGATCTCTATACTCACCCTATATTCTGTGAGAGCGTGGTCCCTCCCCGGTCGAGCCGACCCATTTGTGCTACAACTATACTACTATATAGCTGCAGCGTGGCTCCACCACGTATGGTTAAACATTACTACGTTTTATTAAACATTCGATTTAGCATTTCATGCGCATATTTTTTTTTCGAGAATATACTATTTCAAGATGTCCATCCTGGCCTTTAAGAAGATACTGTCGCGGTATTATGAATAAATTAATTCTAAGTAAATAAATTTTAGTAAAGTTATAGCTTTCCGATAAGTTCTGGAATGGCCTTTAATGTCGCGTAGCTCTTCGCGAGGCATTTCAAGCCGTTTGTCTTCATAGGGCTTCGGCTTTACGATATAAAACATGTCTTATTTGAGCTCAGATCAATAACGGCTGGGTTGATGACCCTATGACATTATGTGCTTAGCTCTAAATACGAAATAGTACTAAAATTACCATTCAAGGTCATGTAGTGGCGATATAAGAATATGCAATAGCCCATATCATCCCGTGGGTGTCGTAACAGGCGACAGTGGGAAACAAACAAGGAGCTGGGTAGCAGAGTCTTCCTAAAAACAACTTAAAAAGACAGCTATGGCAAATATTCCCCCTTTGAGACAATTTGTTCAGCAATTGACTTTTGATAGGCTGCAACCACAAAATACTATAATACACAATAGAATGGCCGTCAAGCTCATTTTGTACGAGAATCGGCGTCGCCGAGAGCACACATACAAGCAATACCGTCGTATTATCACTACTACAAACCCGATTTGCTGTGTTGACAGACTGAGTAATTACACATTTTAGACTTTTGATTAATGTTCAAGATCATCATTAAAAATAAATCCTTTAAATTTTAATACATATTTATTTAAAAACGGTGTGTAATTTGGCATTTTTCAAATTATTTGCATACAGCGACGCTTGACACTAAAACTTGAAACGATTGTGACGTCAAAAGAGATGTTTTGACATTTATAGGTGTGAATTGACATGTTAGTTACATGTTAGTGGCGACACGGGCTCCTCCCACTCCCCCCGTTCTATTGTATTATAGTATTCTATGGCTGAAACGATAACAGTGATGGTAAAGTCACAGTGGAGATAAAAAAAATATATATGACACAGAAAAACAATTTTTATTACATATTAGAACTTAAATCATAGATGTACTTTTCCTAATTTAACAATAATGATTTGAATTAATTAATAAAAATTGGAATCGAAATTAAATTAATATCAAATGCCAGCCCTATGCGGTTGATATTAGGAAAAAAGTGTATTTTTCGTTTTTCTTTTGTTTGAAAATTTCTGATATGCCTTTTATACGGTGTACAAACTAGCCTTTAAGTTTGGATTCTTCGTTTTGACTGCAGATTTATCGTTCCTACCAAAACGTTACATTCAACCATTTTTATATAAAAAATCTCGTCGCCGTCAAAACGTACTGCACGAGGTAGAGCAATGCTGTAGCCATATTAGTAGTAGGTATAGTTGTAGCGCGAATGTGTCGACTCAACCGGGGAAGGACCACGCTCTCACAGAATACCAGCGTAAAATAGCAGCTGCTGTGTTTCGTATGGTGCGTGTAGAGAACCGAAAAACCATTTTACTGGAAAGGATGGCATTCCATCTTAATCATCACGGGTGACAACGCATCTGCATTTTGATTCGTAATCGAGGATGGATGTAGACGTCTATGGGCCACAGCAACCACTTACCATCAGATACAGGCTGTGTGCTCGTTTGTCACTAATATTTATAAGTAAATACCCTTTATAAAAAAACATCTTGGGAATCACTGAGAATAAAAAGCGTTAATTTAATCGATTGAATCAAAATTAAAAAATAAATACCTATTTGTGAGGAAAAAACAATCATAGTTAATTTTCAAATCTTTACAAACAATTAAAACATTTTTTTTAATTCAGCTAGTTTTCCTGGAATCAAATAAGTAGGAAAAAATTATAGCCATTTGTGTGAACAGAATTCATTCTTTAACAAGTTATCCTTATCAAAAATTATAAATTATACTGAAATTACCAATTAAACATTGTTTTTTTATATTATAACACTGGAATATAGTATATTACATAATACCGAGAGAAACATTTTTTATATTTAGAAAAGTAATTTCATTATGGAGTATAAATACTTTTAGAAATAACTTCACTCCGCTTCTTCTTTATTAGTCCGTAAAAGACATAGGTCCCTCCCCCCATTTAAGGGAATCTCCCTTAATCGTAATGTTTAGAAGGTGGATAAATAACAATCGCAGCACCAGATGGCACCTTTGACGGCGTTGCCCTCGTTCGTTCGTCTATTTGAAGTTATTTTATTTTTATTCGGAGTAGGTACCAGCAGCTTTTATAAATCTCACTTATTACAAAATGTTACAGATTTTTCGGAGATAGGTGAAGTCCACCAACATTGGGGCAGCGCGGCTGTCCATTTATCTCTCTAAGAGATTAGAAGAGGCCTGTGCCCAGCAGTGGGAAATATAAACTTCACATTGTTATTAATTTAACTCATCTTTCATCTTTCCGCCCAGAATATGCGATGTAATCGTAGATAGCACGACTAACACTTCAGCCGTAACTCTTTACCAAGCTTAAGATAACTAAAGCTTCTCACAGCTAACATTACCATGTTATTAAATATCATAGCAAATAACCGTTAAAGTATAATGAAATTTTATTCAGAATCCTGTTTTGTGTATCATTAGCACAGCCTTACTTCTCTCTTCTACTTCAATATAATGAAAAAATTTAATATAATTGAATTTCGTACGACTTTAAATTGACGCGTGATGTTACACCGGCCCTGACCTTTAAGAGTAGGGACTGAATAACTTCACAATGCCTAGACCCACAAACAATGCGATAAATGATAGAATACGGTTTATACAATTTATAATTACACAACGGCTCGTGAAATAACAAATGAAATTGTACTCGTAGCTGAACTAATACGTGTTTTAAATACGTAATTATGATGTAACATTTATTTACATGGTAGAGCCTCGCTGCGGCTGTATTATAGCTGCAGCAGGAATGTGTCGGCTCGACCGGGGTAGAACCATGCTCTCACAGAATACCAGCGTGAAACAGCAAAATAATGACGTCTTTCGTAGGGTGAATGTATAAAATGGAAGACCCTTTACTGGTAACGATCTATTCCACATTAGTCCTCAGAGGCCCTCATTTGCATTTTGATTCTTATTCGAAGATAGATGTAGATCTATATAGGAGCGTTCACTTACCATCAGTGGACGGTGAGCTTGATTGACACCTTTATTCTATAAAAAAGTGACAGCTACAGAAACTATCTTGAAATCATTTAGCTACTAGAATGGTGTGATTAAATTACTTTGAAGAGTTCCTACCCTTCTTCCCACACACCATGAACCACACACCACTAACCCGAAACTCATACTTAAGCCTTGATGATACGACACGTGTGAGGTGGTGTGTGAGGAGGCGTGGGAGGTCAGAGGTGAACTCTGAGCGATGCATCATCAAGAAATAATAAACTGCGAATGCTATGTTTCCATAAAGTAACGCCAGATTCTTTTTTAAAAGCTGCGCTTGCTTCCGAAGGAACCTAAAAGCTCCCTTTTTGTCTTGGTTTCTATGGTTGGTACCAACGTACGAGTATGTGACCGTAAACGAAAACGGGAGATCTCCAGCCGAGTAAAGTGGTTAGCTCAGGAAGCGAACGATGATCGATGTAAAAAGTAAAGTTACGTATGTAGGCTATATGCGTCCCACTGCTGGGCACAGGCCTTCTCTCTTTTTTGAGTGGATTTTCCGGCAAGGAAGTGTGCGCCGCGCTATCCTTAGTGTGTGTAGGCGAACTTGACATGTTAGTTTCTTCACGATGTTGTCAAAGGACAAAATCAGCACCTAAAATTTTATTTAACAATTTCATTGGTGACGGCAGGGATTGAATCCCGGTTTACTCGCTTATGAAATTTACAGCGAGCGCGAACCATCTGAACTTCCACGGCTGTACAATGGTCGATGTGATAGTACGGGACTTGTTAATTTTTTATGTATATTTTATAATCATA